GGGGTCGTAGTTGGAGGAGTCGAGGCGCTGGCCCTTGGGGTAGATGCGGGAGAGCTGCAGGCGGTTGTACTGCAGGAACTTCTTCCCTTTCACCTTGTTGACATACTTCTCAGCCTTGGTCTCAGGGAAGGACGACATGTCCCTGTAACAGGCCCTCTCTGTGCCAATCTCTGGGAGAAGACAGCACTGGGTAAGCCAGGAGCACGTTTCCAGACGTTTCAAGCACCCCAGGCTCCTTCCTGACACCCCTCCCCGGGCTCAGCCACCACCAGCTTGGTGCAGACCCTGCCCTGCCCTGGCAGCTGTTTGCTGGGTGCCCCACACTGGTGGCTCAGAGCCTCCAAACCACCCCTAGTGATGAGGCAAGATGGAGCTGCCCTGTGGGGTGACAGACCCCAGTGACACGGGGATGGGGAGGGTGATTTCCACCCTCTGAAGGAGGACATTTCCAGAGCCCCAGTGTAAACTGGTTCCACCTTGCTTTGGACACCTGCCCTCTGCTGAGATCTAGCCCAGGCAGCACCCCGGGGCACACCCTGGGCTCAGTAATGCCACGGTGACTGCCTATGGTGGCCACCAGAGTGGCAGCTGCTCACTCTCTTCATCGAAGGGCACGGGTCTGCAGTAGACCACCAGTTCTGAAAGCTCCAGGGCGATCTTCTTCCTCCTCTCCATCATCTTCCCTTCGGAGAGCTGCCGAGAGAGGGAGAGGGGTGTCAGGGCCTGGTGGAACAGCAATGTTGGACAGCCCAGCTCCCCAGCTGTGGTCAGCAGCAGTGCTGGGCTGGTGTGGAGTTATCCAGACTGCATGGGGGGGATGCCACAAAAACACACATGGGAAGGGCCCTTGGTGGGTCCTACCTCCTGCTTGGACCAGCACAGGGCAGCGCTGGCCTGGCAGCTGAGCCCTGCCACCCTCCACGGATGGAGCTCCCTCACATCCTGAGCCCTCAACTCTCTCCCAAGGCACCAGTCTTCCCAGACGTCCAGCCTGAACCTCTCAAACCCCCCCACGTGGCCACCACCTCTCGCTATACCATCCAAACCCACTCTGCCTTCAACATCTCCCCAACCAGCCACCGCAGGCGGCCGTCCCACCCCTCCCCACCAGCTCCACGCCCTCTTCGGCCGCTGGGAGCTCCCAGCCTGGGCACGGAACCATCTCCCCTGGCAGGAGCTCTCCAGGCTCACCCGAGCATCCGCCGTCTGGGCGGCCTCTCGGATCTTCTTGACCCAGTCCAGCAGGTCCTCGTGCGTGTCAGCCGCCACGTCGAGGGAGAGGCGTGACCCCGCGGCCCTGCTGATGGAGAAGACGAAGAGGCGGCTGTTCTTCCCCTCGGGGCGGATGGCTGCGTGGGCAGAGGGAGCAGGGGCCAGCTCAGGAGGAGGTGCTGAGCCCCCTCCTCCACCGTGCAGAGGCACAGAGCAACGCTCGTGGCACAGCCGGGACTCTTTGGGGAAGAGAAGCTGCAGGTTCTGGTCATTTGGAGGCAAACCGAGCCCAGGGAGGGGAGGGGAGGATGCAGAGGGGGTTCAGAAGCCACACAGGGGCTTTGTGGTGCCCTCCTCCTGCCCATTCTTGCATCTTCCTCCCCTTGCCCTGGTGGGAACGGCCCCCTGGAGCACAGCCTTTGGGCTCTGGGGGTCTGCAAGAGGGGAGGCAGCTCAGCCAGCACCCAGGAGCCCCCAGAGCCTGCAGCAGCCTGGCAGGGAGGCTGGACCACACGTGTGAGGGAGGAAGAAGCCTTACAGGAGAGGAGGAGCCTAGCAAATCAGTCTGAGCTGCCTTGCTGGGGGGTGACTGGCCTGAGAGCAGGTTCAGGCTGTGCTGGAGCAACCCTGGGTGCTCCTCAGCTGTACTCAGGCTGCAGGGACATGTCTAAGCCCCCAAACCCTGAGGCTCCTGTGCCAGGAGCTGCAGTGGAGCGTGTCACCACAGGGCAAGCACACACCACGGACTGCTGGTCACTCACAGAGGGCACAGAGGTGCCTAGAGACAGCCTGAGACCAAAGCCCCACGGCCCAGAAGGTCCACGAGCAGCTGTAACACCCCCCAGAGCTCCACCCCTCCCTGGCACTCACCAATCTGGCAGGAGGGGACGTCCAGGACACCTCCAAGCAGGTCTCCCAGGGGGCTGTTCTCATCCAGCTGCTGGTGGGAAGTAAGCACAGGCAGGATGGTGCTGGGCACCCTCCTCCCACCACCCCTCCCTGAGCTCTGCTCAGGCACCAGCTCACCTCCCGCTCTGGCTCCAGGCTGCTGGGACCAATCATCTCCTCCACGTAGTTGGAAGGGAACCACAGCTGCTTCTTGCCACCATAATCCCCTCTCCACCTGGAAGAGAAGGAAGGGGCAGTGTCAGCACCCACCAGAGCACCCAGCCTGGGGGGCACCCAGGGACAGGCAGCTCCTCCATCATCTGCTTTTAGGGCTCCTGAGGCTTTGGGGCTGTGCAGCTTGTGGGCAATCCCTGAATGGAAGCCAAGCCTAGGATGGTGACACCAAGGTCTGACTGTGTCCCCGAGGGGAAAAGGAGGCTCAGGACCAACTCACCAGCCTCCTTCCTGCTTCTCCACGTTCTGGATGATGGCATTTTTGGTGAAGGTGAGCTCGTCCTCCCGCTGTGCCTTGTAGTCAAACAGGGCTTTGACTGCACACTGCAATGAGGAGAGGTCCTGTGGGGCTGAGCAGCAGGTGCTCACACACACAACAAGCCCGTGGGGTCAAAGAATCATAGAAAGGTCATAGATGGCCTTCAAAGGTCATCTAGTCAACATCTGCAGCTAGAGCAGGTTGATCAGAGCTCCAGCCAACCTCACCTGGGATGGTTCCAGGGATGGGGCATCAACCACCTCTCTCTGGGCAACCTGGGCCAGGGGCTCACCACCCTCAGTGTCAAGAATTTCTTCCCTCTCTCTAGTCTAAATTTCCCTCTTTTAGTTTGAAACCATCACTCCTTGTCCTGTCACAACAAGCCCTGATGAAAAGTCTGTCTTCATCTTTCTTATGGGCCCCCTTTAAGTTCTGAAAGGCTGCAATAGGGTCTCTCCAGAGCCTTCTCCTCTCCAGGCTGCACAACCCCAGCTCTCTCCTGCTGGCCTCCCAGCAGAGGGGTTCCAGCCCTCAGATCATGGTTGTGGCCTCCTCTGGCCCTGCTCCAACAGGTCCATGTCCTTCTTACACTGTGCACCCCAGAGCTGGAGCCAGCACTGCAGGTGGGGTCTCCCCAGAAAGGAGTAGAGGGGGAAAACTCACCTCCCTCGACCCCCCTGGGTCACCTCCTACTGCAGATGGGTTTGCTGTGAGGGATGCCACGTGCAGGCAGCCTCCAACCATGCTGCCAGAGGATGCCAGACCCCAGTGTCCTTGCAGAACACATCAAGGCTTCTATTTATGCTCAACGAGAGGTCACAAGCCTGGCTCTGCACAGACATTTCCTTTGGGCAGGAGCCACTGATGGGTTTAGTTTGGAGAGTTCAGAACAAGAGGCAACCCAGGCTGGGGACCTGCAGGCTCAGACCCCAGCGTGTCCTCCTGCACGGGCTGGAGTAATACAGCTCTTGGAAAGCCAGAGACACTTGCTAAACCCTCAGGCCCTGCAGGTTGTATCTTGCCAAGCAGTGGCAGCATACCTTGAAGGTGGGCATGGGGTTGGCCTCCACGTAGAACCCGGGGTGACGTCCTTCATAAAGGGCTCCATAGTCTGGCTCCTGTTGAAGCAAAGGGTGACAGTGGTGGCTCTGCAGAAGGACAGAACCCCTACCCTTGGGGGGGGGAGTAGGAGGAACACCCCAGGGAAGACACAACACCAAAGATGACACTGCACAGAGCAAAGAGATGCCCACAGTCCCTGCTGGCCTGGGTCAGAGGGGCAGCAATAGATCTCAGTCAAGCCAAGCAGCGTTCCCAACGGGGCACGGGGCAGGGATGGCTCACCCAGCACCACCTCAGGGCACCAGCCCCAGCCAGGCCCATCCCTCACCCTCTGGCTCAGCTCTGAGTCCCCCCCACTCACCGCTGTCCCTATCTTCTCCAGGGTCTCCTCGTTGATGGGGTACCTCAGCTTCATCTTGCGGTACAGCGGGTGCTTCTCGTAGTAGCTGATGAGATCCACCAGGCTCTCGAACTCGGAGTTACCCAGCAGCACAGTCTGCCCCTCCTGCTGCACCCGGCAGTGCTTGATCTTCCCCTCCGCCCTGCCACGGGGAAAGGGAGATGGAGAGCAGCCCCTTGGCACCTGGCAGGAGAAGATCTCCACCAAAACACAGCCACCCAAGCCAAGGGCGTCCCCCGAGCGCAGCCGCCGCCGTCCCGGGGCGGGGGGGCAGGAGCCAGGAGACTTCTCCGGGGCCACCTGGGAGTGGGAAGAGCTCTGGGAGGGCTGCTGGAAGACAGCTGCTGGTGCAGGGCCCGTGCCCCCCTGCTGCCCCCAGCCCTGCCAGCCAGGACCCACCGGAAGGAGATGGCGTAGGAGCTGGGCTCGCTCCTCTTGCGCACCAGGAAGGCTCCGTCGCGGGGCACCCGCATCAGCATGTGCTCGGCCTGGGCACGGCTCAGGTTGGCGTGGTACCACCTGCCAGGAGAGACAGGGACACGTCATGCCACCCCGCAGCTCAGCCCTCGCCTCTGCCATGCCTCACAGC